TCTGCACTGACCCTGCTGTTCCTGGAGCCACAGGGGACTTCTTGCTACAGAGCGAGGAAAGGGCCCAGCACCACGTCTGGGACTTGCCACATGAGTTTGTACTCTATGGGTGTTGGGTGGGTTAGTCGAAGGTGCATTGGGATGCTCAGCACTGGCAAGGGGGTGAGGGTCACTACTGAAAAGCAGATCTGCTAGTGCGGGACGCCTGTCTTTGGAGGGCATGTGTGAGACCAGCCGGCCTGGGTCTGGAGCACGTGGGCAGGCTGAGGCGTTGCAGTGAGCCCTGGACCCGGCTGGCTGTGTAACCACCATGGGATCATAAAGAAGCCCTACTCTTTAGGGAGAGGGTTGTGGGATCGGTCCTCCTTGGAAGGCTTCCAGGCCACAAACAAAAATACAGTACTTGGCTGGGGACCTTGAAGAGCTTCGAGGACTTGTCTGAAGGCACCTTGAGCTTTGCACATTGACTGTGACCCCCGAGTCTTAGAGGAGGCAGCTGGCTGTAGTGGGCCACGCCACCCGGTGCAAGGCCTGTTTTCTATTTAGAAAAGAATTTTAAGTTAGTTTTTTAAAAAATGCATGAGTTACCAAACTGCATGCCTGATTTGATTCTGCTTTTTTTAGTCCATGTGTGTATGCATATATAGATAAATGTGGGTGAGGAGGGCCCGGGTGGGGCGAGCTCAGATGTCTCTGATAACAAAAAGGTTTCTGGGTGGTTTTTAATCTTTGATCTCTTAAGTGTTCTGTAGTGAACAGAGAAGAGTTAAAATTCAGAGTCCTCTGGAAAGAGGACTGTCCTCCTGTTCTTGCATGAGCTGCCCTTTCCAGTCCCTGCCCCCCTGAGTGTGTGGACTGGGCTGGGAAGAGCAGCTTAGAAGAAGGACCCCAGAGATTGTCCTGTCTAACCCTGCCATTGGATGTGGGGGGAAACTGAGGCTCCCAGCAAGGGCCCACAGGGAGGTCTCTGGCTTCAGAATCCAGTGCTCTTTACTGCCCTGCTCCAGTGGGAGGGTTCCATCCCCTGCACCCACCACAGCCCCGACAGCTGTAGGCCTCGGTGAACGTCAGGGGCTTTTTGGTTTGGGTTTTGTGTTTTTAGAGAAAACTCACATGAGACAAGCTTTGCTGAGTGCCTTAATGGAGCTCTAACTCAAAGCTGGAAACCGCAGGGAGAGGCCAATTCCTAGCAATCCAGAAAGGCCTGGCTCCAGAAGGCCAGGTTTGAGCAGGTCTTTGAATAATAAAAGTCGTAATCATTTATTGAACACCTGCTGTATGCCTCACATCTCAGAGATGGGTAAAACAGCCCCTGCTGGCAGGTGTGGGGGTGGGAGGAGGGGGTCTGGTGGATTGGGTTTTGTGAACCACAGTTAGCACTTAACCCTTTTGTTCATTGCTGCTTCTCATTTGCTTCTTCATACTTTTGTGTCCTTTTCAAGTTTTCCCTTATGAGCACATATTTCCTTCATAATCAAAGAATAGCAGTAACCATCATAACTCAGGTTAATTATTTTGCTTATTTTTGCTGCTGGATGAGGCTTTGAATGATAAAAGTTGTCTCCTCGACTTCCTGCTACCTTAATCACTGCCAACATGGCTTTCTTTTCACTGGAGGCTAGCAGAAATCTGTCCTCCACCCAGATGTCAGAGAATTGCACCATCCATGTTCTGGAACCACAGTTATCCCAGCCCTGACACTCAAAGGACCATGGACCACCCACCCACCCACAGTTCCTAGAACCATGGACTCACTTCAGATTTTGTAGGGAAATGAGATCTTGGAGGGAGGGAGCCTTGTAAGTCATGCTCCTGGGTTCAAATTTCCACTTAAAAGTTTTTGGTTTTTTTTTTTTAAATTCTAAGATATCCTTATGTGATATCCTTAAAATATAAAGAGCTCTTCTATATCACCAAGGAAAGAGTCAAATGTACAAATAGCAAGGGACATGAACATCTTCCCATAAAAGTAGATCTGCAAGTGGCCAGCATAGACCCATTTCAAAAGGTAGTGATCCAAAAAATAGGTCTGAATACCAGAGAGGTACCATTTTGTAACTACCAAGGTAGCAAACACCGATGTAATGCCTGTTAATTAAATTGGTTAAATAATGTTACCTCTGTATAATATTAGACTCATTAAAAACTCATGTTTTCTTTGGCCATGTAATGAGAAGGGAAAGTGCTCTTGACATTCTTTAACAAAACACAGTGGCTAATTTTCTTTTTCCTTTGCTGTGTTGTATACTAAATGATAAGTGCTAATTTAAAGAATCAAGTTGGTGAGACTTTCCAGATCTTTCTGTAAAAACAGAGCATGGTTCTGGGTTGAAGGCTGGAGAGGAGTAGATTCAGACAGAGGAGGACAAATGGGGAGAGGGCTGTCTTGAGCCCGTTCTCCTCACACAGACATTTGTGTCTCCGTCTGTCAGGTGGGGGTGCTTGTGTCCACCTCAGAGGCCACCTGGGGGTTCAGGGGTAGATAGGGCAGGGGGGTGGCCGGGAGGACCCAACCTGTATCTGGCATCAGGCCCAATGGCTCCTGCCAGGCACACCACCCAGGGCCTCCCCAGTCAGAAGCTCCATCTTCCCGTCCTCGTCCCACAGATAAATCGGTGCCACATTTGTTGAATAAAACATTTAGTTTTAGCAATACCAGGTTTTGGTTTTCCCCATGTCGCCCACTCCCGCCTACCTGCTAATTATTGTTGTTGGCGTGCCCCCCCCCCAACTGCGACTTGCTCGGAGGTGTGAGTAATTGGGGAAAGACCATGTCCTGGGAGGTCACCTCTGTTTGAGAAAGATGGCATTTCTCCTCCAGATTTGTACATACACGTATATGTACATATACTATACACGTATGCATTGATGTGTGTCTATTTGTGTGTGTTACACGTATATGAACTTTTTTCTTTCGGTAGGAGGGTGACTTTTATAAATGATCTGATGTTTGGAGGGATAGGTAGGTGAAAATGAGCCAGAAAACGTCCACTGAAGAATTGGAGGAGAAAGTGAGATCCACGGTGAAACTCCAATCATGGCAATGGAATGATAGAGATGTAGGACAGAATTTAAAAGCGCAGAAACAGACCCAAGCCTTTGTAAGGATTTTGCCTCCGATTTTCAAATGAGTGGGGCAAAGTCGTACTGAGGCCACTGCCTTCGGAGTAAAATCTATATTCTGTACCAAAGTAAGTTCCTCAAAGATTAAAGAGTTAAATGTAAGACTGGTCTCTGACGGAACTTGAAGATGTGGGTGCCTGTTTACCTCACTCTGATTTTTCTTTCAAACTTTCCTGCCCCTGCTTCCGAGGAATGATTGTTGGCTGTAAATCCTGAAAAGTTGCAGTTCCACAGAACCACCAACCACAGACAAACAGTGCAGCTAATGGATAGCCTGGCATACTCCCCCAGGCAGCCCTTACCCAGATGATGCTGGGGTGAGGGGAGGGGGCTAGCAGAGGCAGGCTGGCCCCTCCTCCTCCTGAGTGGGGCTCTCACCCGGGAAGGTGGGAAGACCTCATTCATGATGTTTGGGGATGCTTGTAACACATGACAGGATGGTTGGCGGAATCTCTTTAATTACAGAGAGGGTTGCCTGTCGGTAGGCATTCTTGAGATGCTGGGCTAGTGTGACCAGCCCATCCCCACCCCAGTCTCTTTAGCTGGGTCTGTTAAGACACCCAGTGCCTGCCCATATTGAGCCCTCCTTGCTTCCAGATTACCAAGCTTTCCCAGTTCACAAACACAGCCCATCCTGTCCCATAATCCTCCACAACCCTGATGAGCAGGCAGGACAACAGCAATCCCCACTTCGTACAGGAAACTGGCGCGGGACGGCCAAGCGGCTTGCCCACGGCCCTCTCTTGCTAGTACAAGTAACAGCACTGGAGTCCAGATGCATGGACCCCGGGGGTTCATCTTGCTACGGGTCGTGTGTCCATGGGATTCACACATTACCTCATTTCCTTCTATCAAAGTTGGAAGTTAGGAGTTCCGGTTCCTATTTCCTGGCTGAGGAAAGGGAAGAAGTGAATTCTGCTGCGTTTGTAAGAGAAAAAGAGGCGTTCTGTTTCCTGACCCCAGGGGGCTCACTCTTGTCCCGGAGAACTGGTCAGACCCCTGGGAGGCGATTGGTGATTGAGTCTCAAATTCTCAGTAGGGGATGTGTGTGAGGTTGGTGACACTGAGGCGGGAGTGGGGGGTCCTGCAGGAGGAGTGCCTGGGCGGGGAGGGGCGTGTGTGCAGGGCACCAGCCCGGGAGGGGGGCATGTAACTTGCCCCATCAGCCTCACCCTGCCTGTGTGCGTGCGGGCCCTGGCTCAGACATGCTGACCACATGGCAGGTGGGACACAGATTGTCTGGAAGGAGGCCAGGCTGGGGAGAGCGACGTCTGTTCACCCCTCGGGAGGCATTTGCCGAGGCAGATGTACCAGGTAAATGCTGGAATAGCAGCATTTAAGAAGAAAAGTGCCTCCAGTCCCCCCACTGTGCGGCCCACCTCATCTCCTGAGGTACCCAGGACCGTGACGGGGCCCAAAAGGCCCCTGCCCTCCTTCGACCTCTCCAGGGATGTTTCCCAACAGGGCTGTCTGTTCATTCATTAAGTTGTGGATAGTGATTGGTCTGCTCTCCATGCAGCATGCAGCTTCTTGGAGAGGGCACAAACGTTTATAAAGGAGCTCGGCTGCCCGGCAGGGGCTTCATAAAGCAGCTGAGAGGCTAAGGTAGGACATCCATACGTTAGCAACAGCCACCGTGTGCTGTGCTCTGCAATGCGTGTGTGAAGCGGTGGATGTTCTCCCATTTTAGAGATGAGAAAACAGAGGCTCGGACAGTTCCTCACTTGCCCAGTGAGAGGCACACCTGGGAAGGTGGTGTTTGAGGAGGGTCTGTGGAGGATGCGGGGAGACAGGGAGAACTGGGGGCCAGGGGTCGGAAGCTCCGGGTCTCTTAGGGTGGGTGCAGCCTCTCACTCTCCCCGTCCTTGTCTCCACAGAGTGCGGCAGCCGCCCCAAGCCCCGTGCTTGGCAACATTCCCCCCAACGATGGGATGCCGGGAGGCCCCATCCCGCCGGGTTTCTTTCAGGTACGTGCTGGCCCCCTCGGTCCCCTGCTCCTTTCGCTCCAGGCCAGGCCCAGGCAGGCGGGAGGGAGGGAGAGAGAAGTAAGTAGTAGCTCAGTTTGCCATGGTCTAAATACAGTTGCTTTATGCTGGTTCCAACCCCTCCCGTCCCTTTCTCCACCCCTTCCAAAACCTGAGGAGGGGAGAAAAGAGGTGGAGGGCAGCCCCCACTCGCCTCCGCACGTGCTGTGTCACTTCTGCCCAAGCTGGTTTTCTTCATACCAGCTTTGAAGGCACCACACAGCCCGCCCCTGGTTGGGGAGGCCATGGGACTGCTTCCAAGGCCACGCGTGGGTAGCTGTCTTTTATAACAAAAGGCTTTTTTTTTTTTTTTTAAACAAGTAAACTGTTCTTTGTTTCTGTTTTGTTGCTGCTGTCATCGTCACTGTTTACTTTGCCTGTCCAAACTACAAACCTTAGGCGTAATCTAAAAAAACCCAAAAAACCCACCATCCTGGCAGGTCTCGGAATCCTTCCCCTCTGGTTAACCACTTGATTTTTTCCGAATGTGATCACAGTCGGCATCCCACGAGCATCTGCGCCCACACTCCGCCCGCCAAAGGCAGGGGCAGGTCCCACGTGGGGTGAGAGCCCGGTCTTCTCCAAGAGACACCTTGTGTCGGCCTCTGGGGGCTTTGTCTTCTGTCAGGGTTGGGTGTGGCTGCCGGCCCCTCTGTGCCTCCTCCTCCTATCTCCGCGGTACCCTGCATTGGTGGGGGGGGCAGGAAGGGCTCATTCGATTTTTAACCCGGCTGAGACTGGGGAATGCCATCTCAGAGAGGTATCAGCATGCAGGGCTGGTGGAAGGAGCTTCTTTGAGTGTAACATTTCATTCCTTCAAACCTGTCTGCGGCGGGATTTGAGAACCTGCCTGTGTTCCCCACCCCATTGAAAGGCTAGCACTTTGTATAGAAAAGGTGGCCAAGATCTCTCTGTGAAGCCCAAGAATTCAAAACTGGGAGCACTGAGACAAAGTCCAAGGAGACTTCTGCTTGGTGTAAGCCAGAATTTCACACCTTGTGTGTCCAGCAGTGAGACACAGACTGCGGGAGGCAGGGGCTCCCTGTTACTAAGACATCTAAGCAAAAGGGGGACAAACCCCTCTTAGAGATGTTAAGGGGATTTTCTCCCTGGGTGGGAGATGACTTAGGTGACACTTCTACCTTGTAAGATTTCACATTTCGGTTGATCTTGACTCCCAGGAGAGAAGGGTTTGGACGTGCTGCTTACTAACCAAGGAGGGAATCAGTGAAATTTGGGCGTTCCCCAAAACCAGAAAGAGCAGGTTGCCCACCAGTGCGACAGCAGTGGGGGCGAGTGAGAGGGGTGTAGGGATGGCGGTTGAGGGCTTTGGATGGCCACACATATATCTGTATACATTCCTAGCCTGACACCCAAACTGGAGCCTTGCCCTGGGGCGGAAAGGGGTACAGCCTCGGAAATGGGGTGTGTAGGCTCTTGGTTAGACCAGACCAGGCATTGCTCAGGGCTTGGCTTGAGGTAAGGCATCGGGAAGAGGGGTCAGGCTTGGAAGAGAATGAGACATTCAGATCCTTGGAAACCAAAAGAAAGAAAGGAGCCAGATAGGCTTCTGCTCTTTCCCCGCAGGGGAAGCCCAGGGGCCGCTGTCTGAGACAGTCATCCGTGCCAAGGGGCAGCCATCTTCCTGGCCACTGTAGACAGGTGTTCTATACCTAGTTGCTTGTCTTTCCCACAGGTGTTCTATCTGCTTGGGCCTTCCTTCCCAGGCTTATACATCTTCCTACACGATGCCATGGGCACCCTGGATACAGTGCAGTTGTGGCTTTCCTGCCTGGTGGACAAAGCCCTGGGTACCAGGCTCCACCTGTGTGCATGCCTGTTGAGGCTACTTGCTGGCATCTGAGTGCCTGGTGCAGGCCACTGTGGTGGGAAGAGGTAGATAATAGCCAGCTGTATTTTTTAAATAGGTCGTTCGTTAACTTCTATTTTGGCCTGAGTCTGGGGCAAGGCAAGGTCTGCCTGATATGTGGGCAGCTCTTAACTTCCCACTTTGGTATAATTGTCCATGGTTAAGGCCTAATTCCAGACATACTTCTCGGGCCCTCCCCTGTGACGTTCAAGGGTGTGTGGTCAGAAAGCCCAGACTGATTCCTGTCCTTATTTGGCCACTTCCAGCCACCATCAAACAGAGGTAACTTTTGGACCCTCTTGAGTGGAGGTCTTTTCTGAACCCCAGTCAGGATGAGCCACCAAGAGTTGGGGCGGGGGGTAGACATGGAGCAGGGACCCGTGTGCCCCGGACTCTCTGCTTCCTGCTTCCTGGGTGACTTTGGCTGACTTTGTCCCCCTCCACGCCCTCCTCAGGTGAGGACATCGTTTTCTAATCAGTCAGATGAAGATGAAGGCGGATAGGGTGCTTCCTGGCTGTGATGCTGACCTACTCAGGCTGGGTCACTGCTGAGGGGAAAGGGTATCTCTCTGGAAGGAGGTAGTAACTGCCCATTTCCAGAGTAGGCCAGCTCACGATGGGAATATTAGCTATTGATTGCTGGCTCTGCCCCTCACTCATCTTGCAGGCGGCCACTCCGATATTAGAAGGGAAATAGAGATGCTATCGGGTTTTTATCTGCTGCCAACAATTGCACTTCTTCCCCTGCTTGGCCACAGTCTGGGCGGGCAACTCTGTGGCAGGGGGGGTCTTTGCACCAAGACAGCCAGCCTGGGTTGGCTGACCCAGCTTTGACCAGATCCCGTCCCACGGTGGCCGGCCCAGTTTTCACATCAGGACTCCGCCCCCAGTTGGTGCTAAATTTCGAAGCCACTGGGGCCTCCAGGGTGGGTGGGAGGGAGCAGCTGTCTACCCCCCATCCCAGCGCCTCAGAAAGGAACACGGTGGGCTTACTTCCTTAGACTGCCAGGCTGCAAGGCTACTCCTGGGGTCGGAAGGTGTGGCCATCCACACGTTAGGTTCCGTCTGTTGGCTTTTTCTTATTTGGTGTTGAGGTGTCTAAGGTAGACAAAACCCTGGTCCTGTGGCATGAGATGTGTCTGGTAGCAAGTTGAGGGCTTGCAGAGAGGTGGTTTAGGACCCAGCCTGACCATACCTCACAATATTGGGGAGTATTTGGGGGTTCTTGGGCTTATGGTAGAGCTTAGCAAGGACATTCTACTTCTGTGCGTTCCTTGTAAAAAGACGGCCTTCATCTTGGCATCCCCAGCATCTGGCATGCACTAGGGACCCAGCAAATGTTTGAACTGAGTTGATTGGTGTTGCTCACGTTACCAGGAGTGGAGCCCAGCCAGCCCCAAAGCTCTAGGTCCTCATTCTGACCAGGCTTGGAGGGTCCAGGGGTGTGTTCTGGAGTGGGGAAGGATACAGAAGACGATAGCCTGAGGACACCTGTTCTCGTCCCCTGCTTGTCCATGTACTTGCTGAGTGACCTTGGGCAAGTTGCTCCCCATCTCTGGGCCCCAGTTTCCTCACTAGGAGATGAAGCAGGGTGGACCAGATGGTCTCGGAGGACCTTTCCAACTTGGATTTTCTGCTTTGAATCCAGACGGATTTTACATAAGCAAGCAGTGGCATTTTTTTTTTTCCCCATGCAGCTTAAGTCAGTTGGGCTGCACATCTGGCAGACTCAGCTTAGTTTTGGCCAGGCCTGCTGGTGTGGGTGGGCCCCCAGCTCCTTGGCCCTAAGGTAGTTATAAGGGAGGCACCCTCCAATGAAGATTTCTAGGTCTAGAGCTGGGGAATGGCAGGAGGGCAGGGGTCACGAAGAAGGGAGCACTGAGTACAGGCTGTTTTTGTTCTTGTTTTGTTTTAAATTCCAGTGATTGTTTTCAGTTATGTAGTGTTTTTAGACATGCAGCTTACTTTCATTTTGATCACAGTGCTTCTGCAGAGGGGCCATGGCTGATTGGGAGAGTGAGACTGGGAAAGGTGAATGACCTGCGCGGAGTTATCAGCTGTGGGCTGTAACCGGAATCTCAGCCCAGGCTTGCTGGTCCTGGATCCCAGTGTTCTTCCACAGCGGTCAGCTACACGTCTGATTGTCTAGAGAGAGAATAGAGAACAAGAGCAAAGGAGGGAAATGATGGAGGGAGAAAGAGAAACTCTAGCCATCTTCTCTCAAAAGCAGGCAACGTTTCTGTTCAGACGCCAGCCCTGATGGGTTGGTGGTGGCTGCTGGAACACTGTTGAGAATGATTCTGAAGCCGTGTGCGGGCTCAGCAGACACTGATGGGCGACGTCTTTCATGAACACGGGGATGTAAGTGATGGTATGTGACCTCTGTATTTGCCATGCCTGATCGAGTCCAGGCTTCATATATAGATGCAGAGTGGAGGCCCAGAGGCAGATGGCACTGTGGTTAGTGACAGTGATCAGCACCCTCTGTGAGGGCAGGGGGCTTGACTCTAGGCCAGAACTGATCAACCATAGTCTGCCCCCAGGAGCACCCAGCCTACCAGAGAGACTTGATGGGTAACCCATGCCCTGTGGCAAGAAATGGAGGGGCCTGCCTGCCCAGGGGCTTCCTGGGGGCAACACAGTCTGGGATGGTGTCCCAGTGAGGTGGATGATAGGTAGGTGCTCAGTAGGAGACGGGGCTGGAGAGTTTGCTGGCAGTGTTTGCTGGACCTTTTGGAGGACTGTGGGCTCCATCCGGAGGTAGTGGGAGCCACTGGAGCACCCTGGTCTGGATAATGCCTCAGCCAGGTCTGTGTTCCAGAACAATTCACTGTGCACCTGCTCCGTCAGCTCTGTGGTGGCCAGAACCTGGGGGCCGACTGCACTGAGGATGGAGACTGGTATTGCTGAGACCCAGCAGACGTCAAAGGGCTAAAGACAGCCTTCTCTGGAAAGGATAGTCTTGGGAGAATCTAGCTCCCTTTGCCAGAAGCTCATCACATTCTGCTCTCAACATGCCCAGATACTTTCCATTGTAGTGGGGCACAGTCGGGGTTGACATGTCCCCCCATTC